TCACCTGCTTGACAAGACCAGACATGATCCATCTCGTCCAGACTCTGGCGAGAGCGAACGGTTCGTGAAGCGAGTCCGTCACAACCAAGCGGCAGCGATAGCTCGACGCATGTCGTCGGCGCTTATGGTCACCGATGCCGGTGCCTCACCGACCCTCTCGGTCGCCCTCCTCCTCGCCGCCTCGAATGCCTTTCTGACGTAGGAGTCGAATGAATCGTCGAGTGCCTTGTACTGAGGCCTCGTCAGATGCGCCCCCACGAGGCCCTCGACGACTTTCTGGGATGGCACCATTTATGTGTGATATACATAACGAAAATGATAGTCCCCTCCGTGAGCGATCGCACCGTCGACGCTATCATCAAGACTTTCCGTCCCCCGAACACGAGGTTGGGGGCGGGTGCGTGCGCCGTTCTGCGTGGAGCCATCCGCAGTCGGATGCGGAAGACCGCCGCCAGATCCGGCGTGCTGGCCCTGTACGCGCGAAACGGAAGATTGAGGAACTTCACACCGACCGACGTCGCGATGGTGGACTTCATAGGCGGTCTCCAGACGGAAGGGGCGCTGCGGCACCGTCTCCTCCACGATGCCAAGTACCGGGACTTTTTCAACCCGGTCCCGAGGCCCCGGAGAGCCGCCCGTCCACCGTCGCCGCTTCCTCACGTCGACGAATATGCGGGAGTGGACTTTGGGGGTGATGACTGGAACCCGGATACCTTCGGAACGCCGCCTAGCCCCAGAGCGACCGAGACGCACCCCAGCGCCAGAAGTCCCGAGACGCCGCCCGGCCCTATAAGACCCGTCAAGAGGAAGAGGAGCGAGCGAGCCAGGCAGACGCCCGGTGCCAGGAGGGGATGGAGCGAACACTCTCATCCCATCGCGAGGCGCCTTGATTTCGGATCAGGAAGTCCCGGTGCACCCTCCAAGAGAAAGAGGAGCGAGCGACGCAGGCCGGTCTTCGGCACCCAGAGGAGGTGGGTTTCTGCCACCGGGTCCTCTCAGGGTGAAGAGGGTAGTGCCCATAGTCAGGCCCGCCCGCGATACGAGACGTCCCGCCCGGTACGACGACTATCACGGCAAGATCGACCTTCGCAAGATCAGACGAGACTTCAAGAGAGTGATCGTGCCCAAGACGAGGGACAATATGTTCGCTGCGGTCCGGCGCGCCACGAGAGACGCCCGTAGCGTCAGGGAGCTCCGCGAGGCCTGCGCCGATCTTGAGATGGATCCCGCCAGGTTCTGGCCGGACGCGGTTCAGCGCATGAAGGGGCCCGCCCGAGCGAAGGCACACGCGGCATCTGTCAGGAAAGATGCGATGCGAGGCGTCCTAGAGCTGGAGGTGTTGGCGTACGCGACGTGCACGGTGATCGTGGTGAAGGACGGAGACGAACTCCGGCGCTACGAGCCTCGAGTCTTCGGCGGAGCGGGACCCTCGCGGGAGCCGCCTACGGCAGTTTTGGAGCGGACCAGATATTACGACGTGCTCACTCCACGAGGCTAGGTTATATCGATAAGAATATCAAGACGGAATAACACCCCTCTCGCTGGTGCGTGAAACTCGGCCGGCGGAATCCCTAGTGCGTTACTCTCGGGGGTTCGTCAGTGATCTGCCACGTCAGCATCCCCCTGAGGGAGGGACCTTTTCTTAGTGGAATATCCAGTTCGAAATTCCACAAGGCAGCAAGAACAGCAAGACAGCAAAATCTCAGGAGTTCCTGGATCCAGGATGGAGGATCAAGATCGTCCACGGACTCTCAGAGAGTATCCTAAAACTATTGTTTTGCTGTCTTGCCGTCTCGCTGGAAGGGTATGAAAGTCCGCGAGCGGATCCCTAATACGTAACTTTTCTCAGAGATGATCATGCATTGATTCGTGACGAGAGCAAGTCTCACCAGCTTTAAGGAGGAGCTTTCTTGTCCCTCTTGCTTTGAAACACCTTGGGGCTTGCGAATTAGGATCCGGTAGTCTACCACTAGTAGACAGTTGGCAGCAGCCTGGTATAAGAAAGCCTCGGGGCAGACCTTTTGGATCAGGATCTGGTTGTGAGGTTGGTACAAATGGATATCACCCCGTTCCTGTCGCATCCAAAGGTCTCGGCGATCGTGGACATTTCAGACGGTGAAAAGCAAGACCTTGCACTGGTATTCATCAAAGCCTTTGATGACGGAGGCAACGACTTTCCGATCGACTTCGATGATGTGTGGTTGTTTTTGGAGTACTCTTCGAAAGGGAACGCCCTGCAAAAACTGAAGCGGTGCTTTAAGGAGGGTACTGATTTCCGGAGGGATGTTGTGAGACATCACAAGAACCCTTCCGGAGCAGATCTAGGTGGAAGACCGACGGACAAATACTTCATGACCACGAAGGCCTTCGAGTTCTTCGCGCTGAGTGCACTTGGGGACAAGGGGGATCGGGTCAGATCTTTCTTCCTCGCCGTTCGCGATGCGTGGCTCGACTCGGCTACCGTACACGCGCGGCCCGAAGAGCCTAATGCCATGATGCTGTACCAACTCGAGAAGGGGAAGCTGAAAGTGGAGACGGAAAGACTGCGCATCGAAAATAGAAGGTTGGAAGAAGAGGCTCCAGCCAAGCGCATCCGTTTTGCTCACGAGTGGCGCAGCACACTCGAGGGAATCGGAGCCTTTACGGTTACAGACTTGATGAGCTTCCAGGGGATCGTCCGCGAGGCTAAAAACCTCACCGGACTGGGTCACCGCGCGAGTGGACCGGTACCACCAGCCTTGGAACGGGCGCCGGTTGTGAAAGAGTACACGCTGTCTGAATACCTGCAGCTCGAGCATGGAAAGGTGTTCAATTCCAAGCAGCTACAAATTCCCGGGAAAATCCTCGCAGAAAAATATAGGCAGATTGCCGGGAAGGAGCCAGGGACGAAACTCGTGGAAGTCAACGGGCGGGCGACCCACGTGAAAGCTTACAGGAACGAGCAGATCGAGGGGACCGACCCAGACGCTACTGGTTTTGACCTCATGCATAGGGTTGCCCGGGAACACAAGTTTTTGTAGTCCATTTCTGCAGCGAAAAGCCCCCCTCTTTCCGCTGGTGCAGCCGCGATGCCCGATATTCGAGCATGCGTGTCTTCGTGGCGCTCTCTGATTGGTCGGGACTGCTGGGCACGCTCTCGACCAAAGAGGTGTACAGTGTTTAGGGAATCAAGATTTCGAACTCTCCAGACATAGCAACATCATGACATCCGCTCTGCATAGTCACAGAGGCGTGTTCCCTTCGTTCAACTACAAAAGGATTGTCCATTTCACCAACTGGCTGAATCAGGTGCTCGGCAAAGAAAGGACAGTCATCCCACACGATGTCATCGATGCGGTGAAGGCTGAATTCAGGAAGGCAGACATGACGTCTGTCGACGAGATCACTCCCCAAAAAGTTCGTGGTTACTTGAAGAAGCTCAATCTGTCACAGTATTACGAGCATTCGGTGTCCATCTGCCGGTCCCTAGGCGGGGCAGCAGAACCTGAGATAGACACTGAGATGAAAGAGAAGATCATATTCATGTTTTCGGCTGTGCAAGAGCCGTTCCAGAAGAACAAACCGCCGGGGCGGGCGAGCTTCCTCTCGTACGCATTCTGCTTGTACAAGTTCTGCCAGCTGTTGAAGATAGATCAGATGCTGGTTCACGTACCGTTGGTGAAGAGTAGGGTGAAGCTGAGGGTATACGACGGGATATGGGAAAGGATCTGGCAAGACCTATCATGGCATTTCATCCCTACAGATACTTAAAAGTTGTTGAACATGGTGATGACCGAGTACATGGACCATGCGTGAACACTGGCCTACAATAATGGTACGGCTTGAAACGGATTCGCGGAGTCAACCCTATGAAAATGGCAAAACATGCTGGCAGTGCTGGTGGAGACGCTGCCAAATATCGCCGCGTCTCCACCAAAATGCGGAATAGTTGCCAATGCGTCATAACCCGGGCGGTGCGCATATAGTTGGTACTAGATCTGTGCGGCAATGGTATAACGACGATGATACTACGACCAACGTCGAGTCAGAGCCTCTCTGCAGTCTGCTTTAGATTGTCTACCAGTGCCTTGACGAACCTCTCGTTCTTTTGCATCGCGGCTTCGATCTGATCTCGTTCCGGGATGTTCCCCAGATGCTCGACCGCGTAAGCAAAGAAAGCGACGTAGCTTCTCACGACCTCCATCACAAAGCCGATATTCCCAGCCCAGTCGACACCGCTATCGAGTGCATATTTGAAGTTGGCAATATCCAGGACCAAACTCCTCTTCGTCTGGGACGGATCCGCCTTCGCCAGGAATCCGAACATAGTCTCGATCAATCTCGAGACTCCCTTCTTCTGATTGCGCGTCAGTTCGATTTCCACTTCGTCGCCGGTTGCGGTGTCCGACGGAGCGTTTCGCTGCTTCTTCGGCGGCGGCGCTGCAGGATCGTCTTCGACTTCGGGGAGATGTTTTTGCGAGATGCGAGAGATTGTAGTCACCCGCGATGCCATTCAAAGATCAAGCTATCTTTAAGGACCGCACTAATCAGGCTCGACATTGACTAGAAGTTCATCGCATCGAATACGGCAGGGGACGGCACCTTCGAGTGCCGGGACGTCCTACTCACCGTCTTCGATCTGTGTTCTCGCTTCTTCGACTCCTTTCGCTCCCGCCTCTCCGTCTTCCTCCTATCCTTCTCAGAGGTCTGCTGACTCTTCTGCTTATGCTCGGGAAGGCTCGACACCGACGCCTGCCTCTCCTGCCCCCGCCGCTCCTCAGAGAGCATCGATCCCCGAACCTGCCCCTTCTGCGCCCGCCTCCCCTGCCTCTCTTCGGGAAGCCTCGACTCCGGCGCATGCCTTTGCTGCCCCCGCCGCTCCTCAGAGAGCATCAGCCCTGGCGCCAGCTTCTCAGAAAGCATCGATGCCGGCGCCTGCTCTTCCTCTCTCTCCCCAGAAAGCACCGACGTCGGCGCCTGCCTCTCCTGCTCTTGCGCCTGCCCCTCCTCAGAGGGCATTAGCCCCGGCGCCTGCTTCTGCAGCCTCTCCTCGGGGAACATCGACACCGGCGCCTGCCTCTCCTGCCCCCGCCGCTCCTCAGAGAGCATCAATTTCGGCGCCAACCTCCCAGAAAGCACCGACAATTGCGCCTCCTCCTGCCTCTCCCCAGAAAGCATCGACGCGGGCGCCTGCCTCTCCATCCATTGCCTCTCATCAGGAAGCTCTTTCCCCGGCGCCAGCCTCTCCCGTCCCTGCATCGACCGCGGCGCCATCCTTTTCTCCTCTTGCCCCTCCTCAGAAAGCTTTGATCCTGGCGCCAGCCCCTCCTGCTCCTGCCCCTGCCCCTGCCCCTCCTCAGAAAGCTTTGATCCTGGCGCCAGCCCCTCCTCCTCCTGCCCCTGCCCCTGCCCCTCCTCCGGGAGCATCGACCCTGGCGCCAGCCCCTCCTGTTCCTGCCCCGGCCCCTCCTCAGGGAGCATCGATCCTGGCGCCAGCCTCTCCTGCTCCTGCCCCTGCCCCTGCCCCTGCTCCTCCCTAAAAAGCTTCAAGCCCGGCGCCTGCATTTCCTTAACCCCAGGAAACCCTTCCTTCATCATCTCAGCGATCCTTCTTTCTAATTTGTCTATGTGCTGCTTCTGCAAATGCCTGTCTTCAAAAAGCACTTGCACCAGACCTTGAAGCAAAACATGCATATACTTTGTATGAATCTGCCTAGACCT